CTCTTGGAGGAGAGACGAAACGTTTCATTAGAGAAGAACCCGTTCAGAAGACCTATACAATTTTTTTATTTTTGATTCAGTTGGGGTCTTTATAAAGTGTAATTACAATGCTTTGGTTTGAATTCCTCCTTATTTTAACTTTACGAGCCTCTTTCACACCTTATCTGCCATGTGTCTCAAAGCAGCCGGATTTGATACCGTTAAGATGCTTCAACCCCCTCCTGCTTTTCTAGTGATGCAGAAACATTTTTTTTACAATTAAATTAAAAGATGTCAACAACAGAGGACTTGTCCATCCATCAGCCTTACATGTTGGAGTCTGACCCAGAATCAGAGGAGAATGAAGACGAGGAAATTGTAGTTGGTAAACCCAGACCTTATTTAGTAATTCCGTCACAGATAATTTGACAATATCTCAGAAAACGTCTGAGAAGTAAGAGGGCGCGGAGTTGTTAAGGCATTTAAAACAATACAAGTGGATCTTAAAGTGAATTCTGAAGTGAACTGTAGGCCAGTGAACAGAAGCTAAAACCAGAGTATGCTCTCTTTTGCCTTTGTCAGTTAGAAATCGGGCCGCTGCATTCTGCACCATCTGAAAACGAGCAATGGAGGTCTGTCTGATTCCATACAGCAAGTTAAAGCTATCAAGCCTGGATGTTATGAAAGCATGAATCACTCTAAAGATTTCTTTTTTGACAGAATGGGCTTCAGCATGGACAGTCTCCTCCAGCTGCACTAAGTAGGACAGTAAGATGGGTACAAAGAGATCAAATACAGCTGAACATGGAGTTACGATGGATGTGTCACGAGCTGGTGGGGGAATGAGTGCCAGAGTATATTCAACTTTATCTATGAAGAAGGTGAGAAATTCCTCGCATGGTTCAGAGGAAGGTYCCAGGTGGGCAGGCTCATTCAGATGGAGAACGGTACTCTGAGAAGAAAAGAGGATTCAGTGGTTGTGCCAATTTGAGACAATGATGACTGAGAACTATTTGCCTTTTGTGGCTCCAACAGATTTCTGATAAGAGTGCCAGCTCTGTTTTAGCATCTCAAAAGAAACCTGCAGCTCGTCTTTTCTCGACATCCATTCCATTTTACGGCATTCCCGCCTGAGGGCTCTGGTTCCATCACATAGATCATAGACTTGAATATAAATATCACTAGACTGAGCCCCGCCCATTCCGTACACTGGTAGTGTCTGTGACAACATGGAGGAGCAGAAACAGACCAAACAGGGCAACAGCTCACAGCCTCCATAGAAACTAATAGATAAACAGCAAGCTGAACTGGATCTGTTTCACAGATCGCCTGTCATGTTTTTACAATATATTAATAACTATGTTAA